AAGGTTGGAAAAAACTTAAACGGAAACGATTGCGATTATCAGTAGAAGCAAAGTTATTCTTCTAAACAGAAGTCAAACTATTTCGATATTTAGTTAATTTAGGTTTACTAACTCATTGAATAAACACGTAAAACGTCTGAATAGTATTACATATTCCTTATTGGTGGCTGTGGTCCAGGATTGATTCTCCTCTTTAGGTGAGAGAACCCGGTTTTGTATCAATTTTACACTCGAAAATTGCACTAGGGTTTATTTTCGGAGTAAGTTAAGCGGGAAGAATAAAAAATTAAACAGTATGTCTTCGGGTTATTATTTAAATGTTTATTTAAACGTCCAAAAGTTGACGATGCCGACAGGCGATTGTCAGCGAATGTTTATTGTGATTATCACGATTTTTTGTTAAATAATCTTGTTGATTCTTGACAAAACCTGATATTGAAATTTGCATTTTAACAACTTTTCTAAATTAATAACAAACACATATCATAACTAAGGCACATTATGTTCAATACTACAAAATATATTTAGCACCGATTACAGAGACTGAAAATACGCTGATTTCTAACAAATTCCAACAAAAGCAAAATATGCCTCATGTTTGATGTTAACGAAAATTGTAGCCTCTTGGGCACTGTCATAAAACGCCAATGAGATTTTTTTTTTAATAGGTCTTATTTTCGGAACAGGACTTTTATTAAAACCATCCTTTAAAATCATAGTGGGGTCCAGACTGATTCGATATGCACCTCCACTCTTTCCTATCCTAAGCTAATCTTCGCATTTCCATAAAACTAGAACAACCCACATCGTTAACTATTTGTGAACAGTAATCTAATCTAGGTCTACCTATACTCCTCCTAATTCCTGTTTCTGCCTTTAATATATGTCTGACTAGACCTTCATGCCTAAGAACGTGTCCTACTTACCTACCTCTCGCATATTTATAACTGACTTCTATACAGTCCTCTGTTCTCCTATTTTTTCTAATACCTCTTCATTTCTAACCTTCCTTATCCTCATCATTTGCCTGTAACATCATATTTCGAACGCTTCTAACATTTTCTTTTCCGCCGGGCCCACTGTCCATGTTTCGAACCCGTACAGCCCCGCGATCTAAACATACACCTTTAACAACCTTTTTCGAATTTCTAAATTAATCGTTCGCGAGCATAGAAATGACTTCTTTTTATTGAAGGCGACTCAACTCTGCGCTGTTCTCTGCTATATATCCCCACTACACCTTCCGTCCTGACTTATCTGACTTCCTAGATACTTAAAATCGACCATTTCTTCTAATTTTCCGTCTCCTATCTTTATATTCTCTCTTTCCCTACTTTTTCTCCCCTTGCATACCAGTATTTTTGTTTTAAGTTTATGTATTTTCATACAGTACAGTACATGTCAGTACTGCATCTATTTTATTTAAACCTATCTCTATCAACTCATTAGTAAATTAAAAAAAATCTAAAGACGCAGTTGCACATAAAAAAAATCAATAACGTTACCAAGCAAGGCTTACTATTGTTGTTTGAACAGAAGACTCCCTGACTGATTTATATGAAATGAGTTACGCACCAAGAGCTTATGTTAGGTCAGGCGTCGGTAACCTATGAACCGCGACTCGCCGAGTGACCCATACAATTTCAAATTTCAATTGCGAAAACAAAGCACAAAAATGTATAAACATAAACAAAAAAAAAAACAAACAGTTACGGTTGAACAGAAAATAAATAGTTCCTTCGAATCGCTAAACCGAAAACGGGTCTCAACATCGCAGAGCCGACGCTTTTTGTCACTTCTTGTTGCTTCGAGTTTTTCTCGGATTTAAGTTTGATTACAATGCAGCGGTAAACAACATAAGCGAAATGTAACAACATCATCCGAACAAATTTTATCACTATTCAATAAGTTTATTGTTCGTCCTCCCTACTGAATAAAATTTCGTATCATTATCCATTAAAAAAATCGGAATCGAGAAGATACTCCGTCACAGGAACCGAATCTCGAAGATTTTTAATTACAGACCTGAGTATTTGATATTAATTTCGACTTTATACCTTCACACGTTCCTGAGAAAAAGGGTCTTGACAGATAAACAGACAGACAGGCGGACAACGAAGTGAACCCATTAGGGTGGCTTTTTATCGAAATAACTAATGCGAGTACCCGGTTACTACTACCCGGTGCATCTCTACTATCTAATTTTCATAGCACACATAGATACGGTTAGACATTTCAATTTTATGTAAGTACTCTTCAGCTTTTTCCTTTGGTACAGTTCCACTAACACTAATGTTTTTATTTCTACACTGTCTAAATCATGTAAACAACAAGCATTTTTCTGAATTAGGAAATTCAGCAATTCTTTGTGTTTTATATAGAAGACTTTCTCCCGATTCAAACCACTTTTCACTGCTTACTGAGGTGCGATGCCCAAATTATTTATTCGTTGAAGTTATAGAGGGTTTTTATATTAAATAATAAAGGTTTTGGACTCCGAGGGGAAGGGAACACCAAAATTTTATGAATTTATAGAGGTTATTACGTTATCGAGGTTTGAGTTATCAAGGTTCAACTGTAGTAGTAGAAGCTTTTGCCTACTTCTGCCCTAGAACGGATGAACTAATTGTAGTGAGATATGCATGTCGACAGGATATTTAGTTTTTATTTTTAGGAATTTCGGCCACATTTTTTAATTTGTAAAAACCCTATTACTTTTTGTATATTTCGTTTTTTAAGTTCTGGCAAAAAATGTACCTAAGTATTTTATCTGGTATGCACGTACGTATTTAAAAGTTAAAATAATTAACCAGTTGGAGTTTGCCTATAAATAAAATCGAGATGTGCAATAACATCTAATTTTAATTTATTATTGAATTGATTCGGCGGTTTGGCTATAAGTTCGTTTATCTAACGGTGGAAAATATAAAAAGACAAAATTAGCCAAGGTTGGAAAAAACTTAAACGGAAACGATTGCGATTATCAGTAGAAGCAAAGTTATTCTTCTAAACAGAAGTCAAACTATTTCGATATTTAGTTAATTTAGGTTTACTAACTCATTGAATAAACACGTAAAACGTCTGAATAGTATTACATATTCCTTATTGGTGGCTGTGGTCCAGGATTGATTCTCCTCTTTAGGTGAGAGAACCCGGTTTTGTATCAATTTTACACTCGAAAATTGCACTAGGGTTTATTTTCGGAGTAAGTTAAGCGGGAAGAATAAAAAATTAAACAGTATGTCTTCGGGTTATTATTTAAATGTTTATTTAAACGTCCAAAAGTTGACGATGCCGACAGGCGATTGTCAGCGAATGTTTATTGTGATTATCACGATTTTTTGTTAAATAATCTTGTTGATTCTTGACAAAACCTGATATTGAAATTTGCATTTTAACAACTTTTCTAAATTAATAACAAACACATATCATAACTAAGGCACATTATGTTCAATACTACAAAATATATTTAGCACCGATTACAGAGACTGAAAATACGCTGATTTCTAACAAATTCCAACAAAAGCAAAATATGCCTCATGTTTGNTGTTCAGCGTGCTGTCAAACCTACACTAGCAAGGAGATCGGGCTGAAACTATAGCTACAAGCTATCCAAGGATGGTACTATAGAATGTCACCTCAAGGTAGGCCTAGTGGCGCCATCTCTTGGTTAGGCCGGAAACTTATCAATCCACCCTCGTAGGTACACCACCAAAACCTACATACCTAATCCAATCAACACAGACAAAGCAATATTGTAAACATGCACAGTCAAGATAATAAATCACATAATTGCAACTAGATCATGTCACTATTGTAATTTACGGCATTACCGATGACGTTATATGTACTTCCACCATACGAGATATTAATACCATTTTGAAATTGAATGTAATGTGGTTTCAGAAATTTCGATAGAATAATTAAATCAAATTGTTTTGCGTCAACAACAAATTAATGCATTAAATTTATTAGTAAAAGATAACATTCCTTTTATATAAAAATATATTTCCAATTTGGTCCTTCCCAGAAAAGTACTTGTAAAAAATATAAAAGTTGAATAAAAAATGAAGCAATTACATGTGTACATAATGTACAACACAAATTCATAATTGTTATTCTCGAATTGTATTACATAACTTTTTGAATTATTCAGTGTTAAATCTGCAGATTTAACATGAATTGAAAATCACGAGAAAAATCGTTACACAATATACCTTGTTATTCGAAGGGTGTACCACATTTTCCTTTTTCTTTTCTTTAATGCTGAAAGTGAATGGAAACATCCGAAACGTAAACGTACAAACACTTTTTATTATTGCTCTTAATTAAGCAAATATCATCATCAAGTAAGTAGACATTATCTGAGAATTATCAGAATTTTGTCACTATTATTTCTATTTTTAGAAAAAAATTGATTTCCTATTTATCCGAAAATTTGGTTTACATAGACATTGAATTTAAAATGATAGAAATATGTATAAAAACACAACATTCAGGCAGAACGGTTAGGGAATTGGCATAGCAGGTATAGGTGGATTTTCAACATGACGGCAACGAATAAAAATTCATCCAAATAATTTTGCATAAGTGGTTACCATTTGTTTTGTGTGAAAAACGTTGAGGTAGAGCAGAAACAATTACAGAGATAAATGGATAAATAAAAGTACTTCATACCGAATTTTCGTTCCTGTTGAGCTTTGTTGGAAATCAATCAATCAAAAAAGGTTTAAACAAAATTAACATTTATCTAAAACCTCATAAAATTTTTTTATTATTAGACCCTGGTACCTCTTGTCTACGAATGTTACAATTCAGCATAATTTCCATAATCATTTCGTTCGTGGAATGAGAAAAACTTTCTTAAGGGAAAATTCTCTTGACTAGCAAAAGTTTTGGTCTATTTACGATTTCCGCATTATTTTCAGACCCGAGAACATATACATAGATATGTTGTACATAAATCTCTTAAATTACATCTTACATCACAGAATACGTACCACATCGTGCATCCACAAATCCATGTTTGCGCGGTATTTTCCCAGGAATGCGCCTCCACGAGACAAAAATGTTAAAATGAACCCGAAAACACAAAGTGGTTTAATCAGTTGCAAGCGGTATTTATTTGGAAAACGAATGACCCAAGAAAAAAGCGAGAAACACAGTTTTAACGGTCCACGTGGTTGTTTTTCCGGGCACTCTCACTTTTTTCCCGTCGATTTTCTAACACACATCCATCACGATAGCGATAACTGATAATGGGTAATTATGTATAACGATATATGGAACGCATACACGATCGAGCTTCCGCCGTATCACAACAACAAAACTCTTTCGGAGAGTGGCAGCAACATTGAAATAATGTACGAAAGGACTGTTGGATGAGACGGTGGAAAGATCCATGGACGAAATCGCAATCGGCAAAATGACCACGTGCTGGATTCGTAGTGTGGCCGGAAACGGTCGGAAGCGGTCGGAAAATCTCATTACTCCAACAACAAAACAACAGCAACCAAAGACCACTATGCTAATTGAAACAATGAATGCGTTTGCTGTATCAATGCAACCAGCACGGATACGTATTCATTGTGTCATAATATTATGTATGAAAATAAATAACTTGTGTTCATTCCAGTACGCATTTGTCAAACGTAATCGAAAAGTTGAGTACGTACTCCTGAGCGAGCACAGAATTTCAGGGTCAATTTTCCATTTTACTTGATAGGTACATAACAAAAATTGGAGAGGTGAATGACGACATACCAAGTCTCCAGGTCTCGAGGTTCACAGATTTCCACATATGTGGAAAACAAATGGGCATTTTTTAATATTTTCGGCATTTTTCTTCAAATTAACTCCACCGAGAGGCAGATCAAATGTCGAGAGCGCTCTAGGCTAGCACCTCATAGACACCCCTCTGGCGGTCATATACTTTGCAAAATACTTTTTTTTTTATTAGGTACTTCCTTATTTTCTTTTTTTTAGGTTTAAAAACTACCGCGCGCGCCCCTTTTTAACCTTGCGCCCCTAGACATATGCTTACTTTGCCTTATGGATAATCCGCCACTGACTCCACCAATAGCGTTAGTGGCGTCCGAGGTGGACATTCAAAGCGGTGCCCCATTCCTATGCCAAAATGTACTACTGATCTAGAAGTAGAACCTTTATCGGAAACAAACAGCGACCTAATCGAAAGAAATACCCACATGGAGTGGGTACAAGAAGGTGATCTAAAATTGGAAGACGAGCGTTTGGTGGGTTTTGTAGACAAAATGCGAAAGGAAGAATGGAACTCATATAAAATGAGCCATGGTTGAATTCAACTGACCTAGTACAGTTTCTTCCTGCACGTTTCTTCAAAACATGATACCTCCAATTGACATATTAAGTGCTGAAGTCTGCACCCGTAGTAGTATTAGTAGCTTTTGACCTACCCGCCAAATTTTAATGGCAAATACTGTATAGTTCTTGTGAATAGCGGCTTTTTGAAAAAAAGGACACGTTTTAGTACAGCGCTAGGAAAGCTTCATGACGGTCGGATATCGGACAGATTTCTAACAAATGCCGAATATGTGAATCCTGATTTACGTAAAGCAGTTTTCGTGCATGGTAACAAAGTAGTCTAAAAACCATGATTTAGTGTTCCCAATGTATCAAGAAGGAAAAACAAAAATTAAAAATACTTAACAATTTAGAAAAATACATCTGTGTTGGCTTTACTGAAATCTTTACGGAATCTGACGAAATCGTTTGGACCAAAGAGATATTATCTACAGCTATGCAATACAAGTTTCTCAGAACATAAAGGGAGAATTCATTCAAGCGGGAATGTTTTCCTTTGACGGGGAGGAAACCATGGGGGTGTCGTGAAAATAATGATTACAAGTTGTTGGGATTGGAAGCACGGGACGCCTAATAGTGATGAGTATGTGTTCTTCAGATTGAAACATTCCGTCAGCCGGGAAGTTCCTCTTGCTCTAGATCAGTTGCCTTAAAAGAGGGTTGTAGGTGAGCCAGGAATGTCCCTCATTCATTAACCTGGATCTCGCCTAGATCAGCAGGTTCAGATTACGTTGGGGTCACCCATATATCGTGGTAGTTGTGCTACAGATCAGAAGGTTCTGGTTGTGCGATCATGGGTAGGTACCTTTGTAGTAGGCACCGCTGAAGGATTGAAGTTTATTGAAGCATATTGAATCTACTTTACGTACAACACTAATCATCATCATCAGAAGGTCGTCAGTCCTAAGACTGGTTGGACACGTACCTCTACTCTTTCGTATCCTAATCCTATCTTCGCATTTCCCTAATCTAATCTAGGTCTACCTCTACCCGTCTTAACTCCCGTTTCTGCCTGTAATATGTCTTTGACTAGATCTTCATGTCTGAGAAGGTGCCCTACTAACCTATCTCGTCTATTCCTTATTGACTTCCAAAGTCCTCTGTTATCCTATTCTTTCGAATACCTCTTCATTTCTAACTTTGCCTAATTGTCTAACTTCAGAAACATGTCCCATTTCGTGAAGGTTCAAGTCCCGTTCGATCAGACAAGACACATTTTATTTGTAAAATATTTACAGTAAAATTATTTATTTAGTTATGTCTACTAAGTGTCCCCTACAGCATTAGAGCACCGAATGAAAATATTATAAACAACTAGGTAGAATTCTACACAGCAAATACGCCTTCTGCTTAATTGTCTAACTTCAGAAACATGCGTCCCATTTTTGGGTACTCTTTGATTATGATCCTTGTACTAGTCGAAACGTTTTCATTAAATACAATAAGTACTTTTGGTGAAGTTTAAAATTAATTTTAGGGTAGGTGAAGGTTTATCGTCTCATTGAAAGCTTGGACTTACGAAATTGATTACCTTCTTCTGCCTATCGAAATTCAAGTGAAATACGAAGAGGATGGTAAAATCTAGAGATGGACCGGGTATTTAATATGGACCCGGTACCCGGCGGATCCGAACGAGTACCGGATTAGCGCAGGGTAATTCTACCAGAAAGAAAAAAGAAAAACAAACACCAGCAATAATAATTAAATTAAGTATAACCAAAACCCTACCTAATAATAATTGGTAATTAAGATTGTATTGAGATAGGTCGTTTGTTCTAATTTGTATTATTATTGATTGATTACTACATACTAAACTATTAATTTTTTTCTCGTGAACAAGAATATATCATCAGTATGGTCGAACTGTTACAATTTATGTCGCTTGTTGGTAGGTATGCCAGGTTTCGATTTACGATAACTTATTAGTATGATTTTGTATCCTTGCAGACTTTTAGTGTTTATAGATATTTTTATAGGTCCATTTCAATGGCTTTTGAAAATCCGCCAACCAAGAATTAAAATTTCATTAGTTTAGTGTTTAAACGACTTTGTAACGGGACTTAATGATTGGTTTGGGATGTTGGCAAGGGTGGTATTGAAGAGAAAGCTTGCTAGAACTAAGACGTGAAACATTAACCGTAATAGTTTAGCCGGGTACATGGTTATCCGGCGATTATCCAGTATCCAACAAAATCACTATCTCTAGTAAAATATTTTTCTAATAAAAGGAGTAAACGCGATTTCTTGCCTGAAATTAGGGAAATACATTGTACTTTCGATAAGGATATGAAAACAAAATTATTTTGATTTCCGAGGTATGGAAGTCCATAGGGAGCCCTGAATTCTGTCATGACTACCTTGCACTTAATGACGTCCCTGAAATACTTGTATGTACAAAATATACATTGTATTAACATAGGGATCGTAATTTATCATTATCGTTATATTAATTTGTATAGTGATTGTAATTTTTGTAACGAAATAAAAGATAAAAAGTTATCAAAGCGACAAGAGTTCAATTTTTTATCGACGCAACGGGTCATTACAAAGCGTCAGCATTGACACATTTTCTAATTGTGATTACACCGAGTTACATACTTATAAGTAGTTCTGACTTTTCACGCCTTTTCTGTATGAATATTGAGTTCTTTTATAAAAAAATATTAAGTTATTATTCTTTAAATGAATCCTTATTCAGATTGTTTGTTATATTAGAGGAAATTATATTCATTCGTAGGAACAAAATCCTAAAAGAAGGCCCTCATCAAACTCTATTAAATATCCACTACAGTTAACGGAAAAATATCTTTATATGAAGATATATTGATAAGTTTGATATTAATCATCTTGCTATACCAAACAACTTCGACTAAAGAACTGTTAAGTTGTTGACCAAGAACTTTAATATCATATTTAAAGGAATTTGTAGATTTATGCTGGTATATATGCTAGCTAAACTCTGAGGAAAATCGAAAAATTAGGTGTAAAACTGCATGCTTATAGAAGTTAGATTTGTTATTAATTAATTATTTGCACTTCTCACACGGAAAAAAGTACTTTAGAATTATCATGCTGTCTCATAATCTGGGTGTTTCTGATTCACAATGGAAAAATTACCATGCTAGGACGGTAAAAACTCCTATACTTTCCAGTAAACTTTATAAGGTTCTCATACAAAAATTATTCGACTTTATTGAATATTGTCAATACATATCTCTTGCACCCACTTTATAGTGACGAGTAAGGTAAGATTTTTTCTCTCCGAGTAGAAACAAACGATTTCTATGAATTTCTATTTATTTCAATCTAACATTTAAACTACTAACTGGATATTAACTTTGTTATAAGATCCACGAAAAAAACAAAAAACCAACGATTTCGTCCTATTTATATAAGCAAAAAAAATCATTATTAAAGTGTATGTTTTGCATTATCTCTCGTGCAGTATAAGAAGGGAAAATTTCGACAAAGCAATGTCTCATTTCTGTGTTCGGTGAACGTTTTGCTGTACCTGTATATCTCTTACCACTAAAAAACGCATTCGTTTCATTGTCGACTTGCTACCAATTCTTTTATTGTTTTAGGACAATTAATGGCACAATTTTGAGTTGTTCAACTTAGTATTCTGCCACCCCAGAATTTTAAAGTGAAATTATTAATTTACAAACAATTAATTGTAAAATACAATTTTACAGACACGATACTCAATTCATTATTAATCAAATCGTATTTGGCGAAAAAATAAAATGTTTATTGAAACATGTATATTATAATGTTAATTAATTAATTAATAGGAATAGTGGAGTATCAGGAGTAAAAGTTGAATAGCGCTGTTTTTTGTATGAAGTTTGCCTCATTTTTACTTATACATATACATAAATGCGGATGTAAGTTTGTTTGTTACCTTTTAACGCTTTAACTACTCAACCGATCATCATGAAATTTTGTAGACACATTGTCAGACGTATCGAAAAGAATATAGGGTATCTTTTATCCAGAAGCAACAAGCTGTTCCCGAGGGATAGAAAAATTAGTTTTATGTGGTCGTAGATGATCTTCAACACGTATTTATTTTTATATCAATGCGAGTGAAGCCGAAGATGATAAAAAGAATTAGGGAGAACACGCAATTTGAGTTTTCTGACTTCCTAGATACTGCCTACTGTTTTTCGTTGACAATTTATACAGTGTGTTCCGTTTTAATCAGTAATGGAAAATATTTCGACCTGTAAGCAACTAATTAAAAAATGGCTTCCAGAAAAGTTATCGGGCTCCAAGGGACCCATTTGATTCTACTGTCGGGCACCGCGTTTGGAAGCCTTCTACACGCCCAATTTTGGTTTATTAAATAGGAATCGCCATATTTTTTCTACATAAAAAAATACTTTCAAATATTCCTCTACAAAAGTTGTCGGATTCTAAGGGGGTCAACTAATTCTGCAATAGGGTACTGGGTAAGGCCCTTTCGTTTTAAATAGCAAGCCTTATTTTTTATTACAGATTCTTCTGTTTTTTTTTTAATTGGTTGCTTGTATACACATGTCGAGTTATTAACCTGTATATTAACTATAACCCTATTTTTACCTCATCCCTTATAAACCATTGTTTCTACTTTATCCATAAGTAGATTAAAAACGAATACTGCTTCCTGTGTGCTTATTTTACATACCTACGTTTTGAATTTGAAAAAGTTTAGCAAAATTATCCAAAACAAGCAAAACTGCAGACACGAAGTTTTTAGCGTTCACTGTAGATTTTCTAGCAAAGCAGTAGTACACACGTCATGTCGTCTACCTTGACTTATTCCAAGCTGCTACGAAGATTCAATGCCAAGGCCAGCGTTACAAAACAGGGAATTAAATTCAGGATGTGCTAACGATAATAAAGTGACTATAAAAAATATTATGAAGCGCCTTTTCTGTCCTAACGCAACAGATTTACATGCATTTAGACCTCACAATAAATCACCATGCATTAAAAACCGTATATCTAAACTAATACGAAAAGTATCGATTGATTTTCAGATATAAAAGTTGCGAAAATTTACAAATGAAATACTTCCTATAGCTACCAAGTTAGCAGTAAATTTCAGTAGATGACACTATACTGCTAATAACTCTCTATTATCTATTAACATAACAAGGGTTCCTGAATTTTTGAAAAACAATAGCTAAATCATTCTCATGAGTACCGAAAGACTCCAAAAATTATAATTATTTTTTTTTTGGATAAGAATGCAAAAATAAATTACTTAATAATAAATCAAATGAAAAGTTTATTCATAACTAGATACTTTATATAGTAAAGAACGCCTTATTTAACTAATAATACGCACGATATACCAGTGGGAGTAAAAATTGATAGAACGTCTGTATAGCAAAAAGTTTTCACTAGCCTGGTGTAAATCACAACTCATTAAAAAAGTTAAGTCATCGTTATAAAAAACACTCTGTGCAAATGACTACAAACAATAAATTGAACAATAAAAATAGTCCCAAACACAATGTACCTACCTTTTGGATTCATCACCATGTAAATTCCTATCATTAACATGAACAATACGTAGGTATTGTTTAATAAGTGCAAAAAAAGCAGCGTGTCCTATGGCATTTGGCAATGTAATTTCAAAGTAGTAAACACAAAAATTAACACAATAATTGCTATTTTCTAATAAAAATAAAAAGACTTAAAATCTCAGTCTATATGTATGTAGATACCTACATATGTAAACTAGAAAAATATACTAAAACAGTAAATAGAAGTAACATCCCCCAATTCTCCACCCTCAGAAGTGGAATATTTTTAATTCGAATATAAATGGGACCGACCCTGAGATATAGACTATTCAATAAAAAAAATCATTAAAATCGATTCACTATCGGCGAATAAATGAAAGTGAAAGAAAATACAGTCGAATTCAGAACCTTGATTTTCAAAAGGTTTCTGTGGCTGAGAAGAGCATGCATGATTAATGAGTATTGCTGTATGGGAAATTTACTTCACAGGAACTTTCTAAAGTTAATATAATAGCTGAGACATTCGTCACGCGCTTTTAGTTATTCAATAGGCGTTCTTAATTCATACCTCAACTTATCAAAAACAATTTTAATGTAAACATAAAAGCGGAATACATTTTTCAGTTTCAATTTGATGCTCTATGAAAGTAATATTTCCATTTATGCCCAAATTCTTATTTCAACAAAAATATAAGACTGACTAAATTGAAATTAATATTTTCTCTATATATATATANCCAATAGGTACACACTGCACTTGTATGTATGAACGTAATTATTTATTGGTCACGAGGGCAACTTGTACTTATATACTTATGATTAGTTTACTGACACCCTACTGATGCAAATTCTGTGGATAATGATATAGGAATACAACGAGGTAGTTTAATAGCAAAGTTAATTATTTAATGCTTTATATTTAAAAACATTCCAGTATTATTCTTACAAGGAAAAAATATGAACCAAATTGGTCTAACCTCTAAATAAACGATTCGCTTTTGTTATGTAATTGTTAGAGCTATAGAGACATTTCAACCCATAAAATAATATAATCAGTGTAGTTAAAATTCAATTTGTGATAAACATGTTAAAATAGAGGGCAATAATAAATAAAGGGGGCTATAGCATGGTTATAGATTAAGCAACTACTTGCTCACAAGCAGACGTTTAAAAAGTGGTTGTTTTCGAATGCCAAGAATATGTATGTAGAATGATCTTTGATTAAGAAAAACAATAACTGAATTATCAGTAGGATGTTTTACAAAAAAATATATAAAATTTAAATACTTATTGACGTCAAAAATTACGCGCATACGCAAATATACATATGTAAACACTAGTTTGATAATATCTGTTAGAACTTACCACCCTATTTATACGGTCATCGGATTAAGCATTTATCGGTTAACACTCATCTTTTCAATGGGTTTTCACTGCAACACACACTGAAATATCTTTGTACTTCACTCAATTGCTTACAAAACTTTAATTATAATTACCACAGTTGAAGCCACCATACTGGACCACTGCACGCCATCTGCTGGACTGTTCATGAAGGCAAATATCACTATCTCGCTCGCTGCAAGTAATACCAACATTTACAATGAAAGTTTCTTAAAGTTATAGGTGCGTTCGCTGTACTAATACGTAAATAAATGAAAAGTTCTGCAGATGAAGTACCGTCAATAATAATAAATTATTTAAACAAATTTATTAACTATGAATTACTGTTTTCTTACCGTTTATTAAGTAAAAACACAAATTGTGAGTACTTAAAATATATTATCAAATAAAAAAAGACAAAAAAATTAATTACTTTAGGCAGACAACCTTGTCCATTTTTCGCTAACTAACCAAAGCCATTTAGCAGTTGCATCATCTTTAGCAGCTTCTGATAATTCAGCTTCAGAACAATTACTAAAATATTTACCCGTAACTCTCTCTAAACTGGGATCAAGGGCAGCAAAAATAATTGTTTGAGCTCCTTGAGTGGGAGTCTTAATAAAGGGCCATACAAAAGGTTTAATAAATATTTTTGCCATCCAACTATTGAAAAAACCCATATGACGAATTATTTCTGTGTCTACTAAACCAGGATGCACTGCATATACTGTTACCCCAGTCCCTATAAATACAAGTAATCACAATAAAGCATAATTATCAATTTTTCAATCACTAATTACCTTCTAATCTTTTAGCTAGTTCCTTGGTAAAAAGAATATTGGCTAATTTACTTTGGGCATATGCACCCCCTGGATCATACTTTTCATTGCTGTTGAGGTCTTCCTTATTTATTTTGCCTCGCTTATGAGCAATGCTGGAAACATTGACAATTCTACTTGGAGCTGCTTTCTAAAATATCTTTTTAGAACGAAAAATACTGGAAACTATGTATATTCACCTTTAATTGGTCTAATAACAAATTTGTTAGCAAAAAGTGTCCCATATGATTAACTCCTAATTGCATTTCAAAACCTTCTCTTGTTGTTGTGTGCTTAGGAATTCTCATTACCCCTGCATTATTAATTAGAATGTCTAAATGGTCTTCTTGTTTATTAAATATTTGGACAAATTTTCTTATAGATTCCAATGAAGACAAATCACATTCTCTACAATATACATATTTGTTTTTAGTGTCTAAAACAATTTCTTCTCTTGCCTTAAATAAATAAAGAAATATACTAAATTTTACTGGTACTGTATAATTTAATAATTACATTTTCGCAGCGAGTCATGTCTCGACATGCCATGTATACTTTGGCTCCTCTTCTTGCAAGTTCCCATGCTGTCTCTTTACCAATTCCAGTATTTGCACCAGTAACAATTACTATCTTTCCATCAGCTTTAATGTCTTTTGAATATTTTTCGCCACCAATGTATTCCCTACAATTTACAAATTAATATATTTATTATAGAAACTGTTTTATCATACCCACTTAAATAAACAAGCAGCGCCATAAATTGATGCTACTGCACTAGTGTATAACACAGGTTTTGTAATTTTTATGACCATTTTATGCTACAGATATTTTATTGACCATTTTTTTATTATTTAATGATCAAAATTTATTTTATTAACTGTTAATCGTAAGAGGGTTATGTCTCTTTTAGGATATATATATATATATATATATATTAATCTACATACAAAAAAAATGTGACGTGATAGGTTAAAACAAAGTTTATATTTGCAAATTATAGACCAACATTTACATGCTTAAGATAAATTTATACAAAAAACTTTTTTATCGCAGACCTGTGTNTTTTTATTAACTATAATTTTTTAAAATACATTCGTACAGAATCATTATACAGAATAATACTACAAAAAGTATTTATTTCTTTTAATAGCTTATTGATACCACAAAACGATTTAAACTACTAATAACTGTTGTTAATGATCGACTATACATTTTAATTACTGTATCACTATTTCTTCAACATTTGTTGTATTTCTTCTAAAGTTTTTCCTCTCGTTTCTAACAGAAAAAGGTATGAACGTATAGCATTTATAAAGCAAGATACGGTAAAGATTAGAAACGGAACATACAGACCAAAATTGTAAGTTAAAGTTTGAAAAACTTTAGTTATCACGCAAATAAATCCATCAAAAAATATGTTCGTAACAATCATAGCGTTCGCTTTGATACTTGTGGAAAATAATTCTCCAACAAGCAAAGATGGAATTAACGATAGACCAAACGAAAAACAGAACAGGTATAATATCATCCCAGCTAATGGTACCCATCTTAAACCGGAAAGGTCAACCGATGTTTTGTCATTAAGGTAAAAGTATACGGTTTCTACGAGAAGTATAAAACCGCAGCCTAAACAAGAACCAATCATTAGCGGTCTTCTTCCAAATTTATCCTGGTAAAAAGCACCTAATGTCGCAAGAACCAATAAAACAGCGGAGAAAGTAATGGAAGATAATTCTTTTGATATGTTTTGACCAGCCTGTTCGAACAAATACTGAGTATGAACTGTAAAAGCAGCAATGCCGCTCATTTGACTTGCAGCTCTCGCACCTACAGCAATAAACAGAGCTCTTCTATTGCTCTTAATTAGAAACAGGTCCTTCAAGGTTCCAGTTTCAGATAATTGTCTATTGACATCTCTGGTTAATTGTTTATATTCGTCGTCGCAATTCTGTCCTCCTCTTAACAAACGCAAAGACTTCTGAGCTTCTTCATGTCTTCCTCTTGCTAATAAAAAATATGGAGATTCAGGCATAAAAGCGAAAGCACAACAAAACACCACTGGTACGATTGCTGATAGAATTGTAGAAGTTTGGAGATGTAAATACGACCCTAGGACGTTTATAAGGACCTGTCCAACATATCCTGAAATTGCGGGGACGTTACCCCAGGTTCCTCTCACATGGGGTTCGCTTATCTCCGCCACATATACCGGAAGAGATGCCCACAGAATGGCATCACCTAGACCACTTAGGAATCGCGATATATAAAACGGAGTGACCGTTCTTCCGAAATAAATAAGCACGTAGGCGGCAAAATGGACAGGTCCTGATAGGATTAAGACGCGTTTCCTTCCAATCCTGTCGGCAAGTTTCGAAAAAACTGCACAAAGACCTATGGCCGTTAATGGTGGTATAACGGTGAAATATGACGCCTCTTCAAAGGTGATATTGCCAGGAAAATCTTCGGAAGTAATTATTGGTATGTACGGAGAAGTCCAAGCATACTGAACACAAGCCGTTAATAGCGATAACGAACCTAATAAAATATAAATAATATCTATTTCCTATCTACGGTTATTATTTTTAAGGAAATAATATAATCGCAAAAAATAAGTGTGTATATACAGGATAACTGCGTTTTTTCTTACCAATGCAAATAGCAACTACTTGTGGAATTGTCCTGGAACCTTTAAATCTACGTATAATGGATTTCATGACTGCTACAAACTTATTGTTCTGTTCAAAATTAAGATTATTTTAAAAGCGACTGCTTATTTACATAAATAATTTTTATCAGTAAAAAAATACGAATTATCATCAAGTAGGCTGCAGTAAAATAAAACCTAGAGACAGTAATCATTAATCAGTTTAATTTTTATTGCATTCACATTCTTCTACATGGAAAAAAATATACAGCATACATATACACTAACGGCGAGTTTAGAACCGGGCATAGGGATATACTATAAGATACATGCAATCATCAAGGGGCGGCAACATCTTTTGGAAAAAGCGACGTGATATAGGATAAAAGAAATAAAAACTGCTCATTTCTGACCCTTTTTTTATCGCCGAAAATATTAAGCCAAAATAACATTTACTTTAATACATTGGCCTTAATGAAAAACATATACGATTTTAAAATACAGTGTAAACTCTTTATAACGTCTCTCGATTTAACGACAAACTCCTTAAAACGTCGAAATTGCTTGACTTTGGTTGGTTTACATTGTTTTCTATACAATATTACACTCTATATAGCGTCACGCTCACTCTATTTAACGACAACAATGCGGCATTATAAATCATTGAGCAGTACTTTCTAAGTTGCCGAAATAGATAAGAACTGCAGCTGTGTACGTTGTTGAAGAAGACGATCCTGTCCCTCCACCAAGCATCAAACAAGCACTTGATGCAGCGAAACTATTAAAAAAATACTTTTTATATAATCAAATTGATCCAGCAGTATCTCAAGATATGAGTAAGATACGTAACAAAATACAATTAAAATATTGGAGCAGCAAAAAACATCAGACGAAGATAACAGGCTATACGCAATGTATGAATAATAATGTTCGTGTGAAAAATGTGTACTATATTGGTAAATGCATATTATTATAGAATAGTAAAATAATATCTTTTATTTCTCTCCATTTAACGACCACTCCTTATAACGCCGAAAAATGTTCAGTCCCTTAAGTGTCGTTATATAGAGTTTACACTGTAGTTATATTTACCAACATATTTAGTTTTAAAAGAAATTCTTTGAATTTAAGGGTTTTTAAAAAAACAATAATAATAATTGGTCATCATCATCATAAGGTCGTCAGTCCTAAGACTGGTGTCTCCACTCTTTTCTATCTAAACTTCGCATTTCCTTAAAACTAGAACAACCCACATACATAAAGGCAATTATCATTATGCTAAAAACATTTTCTTTATAGAGCAAAGAAATCAAAAAAGAAGAAGATACCTATGTTTTTATTGTACATACAATTCAAATAATTGATGTAATGTATAGAAATGATACACTAGTTATTTATCACGAAATATTCTTTGTGGACATTATTTCGTCAGCATTGAATACATCCGGTGAAAGTGTAGCTAACGTATCATAGCCCAGTTCATCTAGCTTCTTCCAAAGTTTATAATTTTTCCTCATATTCCTCAGCAGTTCGGGCATGTCAATGAATGCGTTCCAAGCCTCGAACAGGTCGTTAATTATGTATTCGATAAAACCAATTTGAGCTTTGGGCACCGAGCAAGTTTCTCTGTCGAACATCGGCATCACCACCGGTAAACCCAAAGATTTCTCTTCATCTGTTTGTTTGCAATATTCTTCCGTTATACGTCTGCACCATTCCAAGGCCACATTGAAATTTCTGGTAGGGTTCGAAACATCAGCGCATTTTATGATCATCCTGTACATCAAAATAAGTTTATCTGGCGCATTGATTACCTTAAGTACATCTTCAGTATGATATGGTATAGCTGAGAACTCATTTACGAATTTCGTCAAAATATCAAAGTGTTTGGTCATATCGGTCGATAAGATTAAATCGATGATATTGTATCTGAGTTCTTTGTATTGTTCAATGTCCACGTTTTGGAATATGTTTATCCTATCGTCGGAGAGGGTGAGTTGGAACATGAGGGACACGTGGTGGTTTTCCAAAACGGTCAAGTCGTTATACAGGAGGGCCCAGATGTGATTTGAGTTGCAAAGAAACGCGCTCGACTTACCATGATGGTCGAGATCATGGACTACCGCCGAAATCAAACAGGCCGCCTCTAAATTCGGATCGAGGAATAATCCCAGCTTCTTGTTCGTTAAAAAAACAGCGCACGCTTGCATAACATCTGCAGCATGCGTCGAATTGTGATAAGGAACTTCTTTGTAATAATGGTTTGCCATAACTAAAAACCAATTCTTGAAGACGGATTCGTTACAGTTCAATGTTTCCGGTATGTTGAATTGTTGGAACAATTCCATTCCTAACGTAATCAGAATGTTTGTACAACTTGTTTCTTCAGATAAAATGTCGTACTGCCACGAGAGGTAATTTTGATTTTCATCGGTGAAAATTTTCGACGCTGCTTGCTTTCTGGAACTTTTTGTATCCATGCCTATCCGACTTGTGGACTGCTTAGTGTCGAGCAACGCCGTTATTAAATCGGAAGCTATGGGTTCTGAAATCTGATCGATCATTTTAACCGTTTTAACGACATTAACGTTATCCAATAAATTAACAACTTTCGTCAATAACAAGTAGGTTTCGCTTTCCCGTTCGCATTTGTTGCGAGCTTCGTCGATCAAATTGATTGCGTTGACGATATTGATGAGCATAAATTCGGAACGACCTGTACTCACTGACACTTTCTTCTCTCGTAAAGGTCCATACACGTACAGACTCATTACAATATGTGAGAATGTGCGATTGTCGTCAAATAACGTGCACGCATTACATTGGGCCGCCACGGTTTCGCCATTTTTGTTTTCCATCTGCAATGTTCCTCGCCAAGACGAAGATCCAGAAATTGCGCGTTCGAACGAAGAGAAAATTGACGAACCTGTCATGAGTTTTTCCCGAATGTTTTTGCCAAGTACATCTTCGATCTCATACTGTAGATGTTCTTTGATGGAGATGCTACAATGTCGTATGTAATATTCGTTATCGAGGACCAGTATCAGGTCGCTAGTGCTAATAGATGTGGCGAAAAAGATAGCACTAAACGTAAAGCCCCTCAAAGACATCTTCAAGTCCGATTGAAATATCATAATGAGCTCGTTGTAGCAAGCGGTGTAAATGGAGTTTTCTGCCAGACACCTGGTGAATCCTATGTCTAAAAGATGTAAAATTTTTAAATTGTTCTTCTCGAAATCTTCTGTTTTGACCAAGGCAATTATCATAACTTGTTGAATGCATTTGCGACAACTCTCGCATAAAGCACGCACGTCCTGTGGGATGGCCCCCATGGTCCTTACGTCCACTATTATCACGTCAGTCGGCTGATGCGAATCTTCGATGTCCCTGACTTCATCGAATCGAACGCATTTGATTTGTAACTGTTGTGCAGCCAACTGGATATTTTTTACAGTTTCGTCCTGCGTTTCGCTAAATATTAAAAGTTTCGGATTTTTTCTTACAAACACATTGATTTGTTCGCGGTCACTGAATTTTTCGCTCTGATATTTGGGATGAGTTGAATAACCCCCCAAGATTCGACGAAACCTCTCTTGCTTCTTACAGCACACGTCGAATGACGAGTAGGGTAATTCGATGTCGAATTTTGACGATTTTTTCTGTTGCTTCTTAGGAAGCGACACTTGCGACATGGGTGGTAATGAAGTTGTATCTTTACGGATACTTTCCATGGATCGTCTGAGAGCGATTGATAAATTGTTAGGATCAATTTTACTGTAGGAAGCATCCAGTGTGCTTGGTATGTCATCCTCTGCATATATTTCTGTTATGTATTTGTCTTCACTTTCGTCAGAAACTCTTTTGGAGCGAATAAATATTGGATAAGTTACTTTTGTACATTCTCCACTCTGACGATGATTAGCTAATGACGCATACTCTACATACGGTGAGGGAATAATGATCTTATCCTTTACGTTCGTTGTATAATCATATTGATCTAATTCCGATTCGTTTACAAATGTCGATTTATTTGCTTGATCTACAACGATCCTTTTTCGTATGTGTAGTTGTGAATTGCGAGCTGATTTTGGTCTATTACATGCTCGTGTGTAGTAGAAAAGCTGATACCAACAATTACTTCGTAACTGTCTGTTAAGACTACGATTATTTTGTTGACTTTCGTTGTATGAACTATTGTCATCCATTATTCCACGTTAATTTTAAATACCCAACAGTATATTTAACGTATATACTATATATATATAAATTTTGGCATGCTACTAATATTTTGATTGACCCATCATATAATTAAACTACTGATACGAACTCACCCTTAATCAGACTTAAAAGATTTATCATTACTATAATGACATAATACAGTGACATTTATTTGAAAGTCTTAGTTCAAAGTATTGTTTGGTTTGGATCCGATATCCCCTACTTTTTTTAGTATTCGGTTCATCTCTACTGCACATGTTAACTCACTTTTGATTTTCATTGTTAGTTCTTAATAAGAATAAGGATTATTCCATGTTCTCTTCTTTAAGTTAAAGAAATTTTTGGTGGAAGTACCTGGCACAATGGAAGCGGTACTGACAGATCAGTACTGTATGAAAATAAATAAAATTAAGACTAAAATACTGGTATGCAAGGGAAGAAAAAGTAGGGAAAGAGAGAATATAAAGATAGGGAACGAAAAATTAGAAGAAGTGGCTGATTTTAGATATCTAGGAAGTCAGATAAGTGAGGATGGAAGGAGTAGTAGGGATATAAAGCAGAGGATAGCGCAAGGTCGTGTCGCCTTTAATAAAAAGAAGTCACTTCTATGCTCGCGAACGGTTAATTTAGAAATTGGAAAAAGGTTGTTAAAGGTGTATATTTGGAGCACGGCGTTGTACGGGTACGAAACATGGACAGTGGGCGCGGCGGAAAAGAAAAGGTTAGAAGCGTTCGAAATGTGGTGTTATAGGCGGATGATGAGGATAACGTGGGTATAAAAGGTTAGAAATGAAGAGGTATTAGCAAGAATAGGAGAACAGAGGACTATGGAAATCAATAAAAAATAGGCGAGATAGGGTGGTAGGACACCTTCTCAGGCATGAAGGTCTAGTCAGAGATATATTAGAGGCAGAAGCAGGAGTTATAAGGGGTAGAGGTAGACCTAGATTAGATTACTGTTCGCAAATAGTTAAGGATGTAGGCTGTTCTAGTTTTAGGGAAATGCGTTTTGCTCAGGATAGGAACGAGTGGAGGTACGTGTCCAACCAGTCTTAGTACTAACGACCTTATGATGATGACCTGGCACAGTTATAAAGTCAATTCCTATAAATTGGTTGTAATAATTAAATATTATTATTATCATGGTAAGGGAAGTTAGTAGATACTTATTTTTATAGTTTAATGATTACCATGTGAGTACATTAACTTTCAAATCGATTAATCGAAGAATACATTAGGTATTTAAATAGTGACGTACATATGTAATACGTGTAGGCATACAGGTACGGCAAAACGGTAACAACACAAAAGCTACGCATTCCTGGGTCGCCATTTCGTATAAGCATAAATAAATTGTTTGGTGAATTTCCATTTGAAAATATTAACTGCTACTCTAAAAACCGTTATAAACTAACCGAACTCTCACAATGTTTTGAACATAGTGAAACACCCCTCGCAAATTTTGATTTGCCCTTATTAGACTTATACGTATATATAAGTAATATTTTACTTTATTATTTATACGAAAAGGTGACTGAAAGGTATTTGTATCAATTTTCTTATACCGGCCGGGTTATCAAAAAATAATTTCTTTCTTTGATGATTGTATGTAATAGAATATCGCTATCGCTATGTTCGATTCTCAATTCTCCACTAGTGTATACAGACAGCTAACAACAGTCTAAATATTTGACATTAAAAAGGATTCTTCTGTATTGAGAGCAAAATCTGATTTATCCGTCACTGGCAGTATATTAAAAAGAACATCTATATCAATCGAAATGAAAGCATTGTAGATTTGAAACTAGACTTTCCAAATATTCGAGAAAAATCCTTAAGGCATGTTTTACAGCAAAATCTCTTCATTATACTATGAATATTTTCGCATATTCTTTTTTTGTAACTATTTGTATAAATTTTTGAACAATTGAACTGGTACAGATCTGCCGGTGAGAAGTACAAAGTTCACGAAATGTCTCAACACGAATTTAAACTCGAAAAGATCGTCGTGACCGGCTATAAAATTATTATTGAAAATACTCATGTAAAATAACAAAAGGTATTTTTTTAATTATTTTAAACCTCAACATATAGTTAACTCTGAAGCCTTCACTAATAGCAAAAACATTATTAATGTAGGTATATGTAAGTAAGTTAAAAGGTACTAGATCTCAAATAAACACAAAAAATGTACCTAAATACTCACATTTCTGGTGGTCAACACGAAGAATACTGATGAATACAATGTTCATTACTTCTTTTTAAAAAAGTCTTCAAAAAATAAAAAGTTCGTAATAAAGAAACACTTCACTTTTATTAAATTTCAGAAATCCTTTGAAAACACTACTTAATGCAAGAAATACAGTGACTTGGTTAAAACAGTTTAAGAAACTAGACGAAAACTTTCATTGCCAAATGATTTGCAAATTGCTTCGTACTTTTTTGACTTCAAACTAACTTACAATTGGTAGTTTTAGTTCGGCTGTGATAATATGTATTAGTACTTATTTGTTTGGATATTGAATGTTTTCGTTTTGTTTCTTTGTTTATCCTCAGTTGATCCGCGGGTGCTTATTTGGCAAAACCTTATTCACACCTGTCCTGTAACCGAAGGGTACAGGACTTTCCCTATCAGCCATCGGGACGCGCCGTGTCGGGGTTGAGGATAAGAGTCCCCACTATCAGAACTATTCCTTCGAAATTTTAAATTTAGAAGATATAGTCTGATCACGGTTAATGTTAACACTTTTATTTTAAAAACTTTATAATACTTTAAACTGTGTTACGAAAAATAAAAGAAAATGTTAGTAATAAATAACATAACAGGGGAAGATTTAGTCTCATATTAAAAAAAGTTGAGATATTACTGTTTAAAATCATAATTTGTATTTTTATAAAAGACATATGTGTATGGTACCTAGAAACACGTCAATTACGAAAATAAATACGATACAATTTTAAAACTTACCTGAAATTCTTACTTTTGCGAAATTTGTGTAGAAATTAGGACATTACAAATGCTTCATAAAGGCAGTTTAGAATCTCATGGACTTTGGCCTTGAGTTGCGCAGTAACAATCTGCAGTTTCACCCCTGATTGTACAGCTAGAAGGCAAACTGTTAACATGCAAATCAATGAACTGATATTGGCCTTTTTCGGGTTTCAAGACCGTCATTTGTTGGAGGAAGCAACGGTCTGTACGCCCGAATCAGGACAGCATCAGTTCACCAACTGGCCGAGAAAGCCTCTACCAGTATGCCAGTCAATGTTTTTGTAATGTACAATATGGATGCAATAAGGTCCGCCCCTTACGCAATCGAAGACTCATGAGATTTTGAACTAACTATAGTAAAAAACAACGCAAGTAGGTAGTAAATAATGGTTTATTTTTTCCATCGTAGCTTATAACAAAACCAACAACAAAAACATGTGTTTTGGAAATTATTTTTATTATAAGGTGGGAAAATGGGATATCTAATACTGCAACCTGCAGCAACAATATTTTAATAAGCACTGCAAGGGAAATGCTTTAATTCAATGATTTTACAAACAAACATAATACAATAACAGACTAGGCAGAAAAACACGGACAATACTACAAACTCGTTATCATTAGATAGAATAATACCATTTAGATGATTTTTTTTCATAATTAAGCAATAGTTTGTTATTAAAACGATATTTAGTGATTAACATAAAGTACTCTCTTTGTGAAAGAATGTCGTTAAAATGGTGATTACCTAGTAAAAAAAGTAAAAATTGTAGGTAACCACGACAAAATTTCTCTTTCTAACAAACCCTATGAAAATCCTTATAGTAAGAAATAAAAATGTATCGAATCAACCGAGAACAGAACCCGGATCACCCGCATGTCAATCGAACGTCTTAACCATCAAACTGTTAACTAGTTCAATACGAATGAGCTGTGTCTATTTAACTCCGGGCAAAGTATAATTCAATTCCTTTTTTGTAATATCTTTTTCAAAAAATAAAGTTAGGATTGTTTATGTAATTTGGTAAAATATTGGCAGTAAAAACAGCTATTAACGAATATTCACTGTAGTATTTCAAATGTTATTTTATTATTTTTGTCAAATTACCTTCGCTGTATTTATGATGTAATATTGCAATAAATAGAATGTATTCGTTAAAAATGTAAAATAGAGTCAAGAAGAAAGCTTTTCTATTCGTTATCTACGGAATAAAATGAGATAAGCAGAGTATTGGTTCCCTGCGGAATAAAATACATCATGAGGTTTCTCAAATCTATTGTACCTGAAAGTTCTGAATGCAGTATGGAAAGTCAAATGGTAACATCGGTCGAGAAGCTACTGACTGGGTTTTCCTCAAGCTATTGAAGAAAACCAATTTAACCCCGAGTTATACGCTCTGTGATGTTTTTTGCTTCAATTTTGTGGGAATATCGCTGCACATCTCGGTACGTTCGAGAATAAATGTAATAATGCACTTCATTCTGATGCCCTGTCAGTTTCACTCGTAGACGTTACCCAACTTTTTAAAATTTTCACACACAGAAACACACACACACTTCTATTATTTATTCGTTTCTACAATGAATACGAAATCGTTTTCTTTATTAAATTCTCTTGATCTTAGTAGTAGGTACAATAGTTTTAGAAAAGACTTTTTAATAGATAATCTATATAAGTACAAGTAAGCAAAACCGCCAGGAAAGTTTATCTTTAAGTTTTTGAAAAGAAAATATACAGGGTGTCCCGTGTAAGAGATATTCTTTCACACAGAAAAATCCTATCTCAAGAAAATCTATTCAAAAATCTGATGTTTTTGGGATATTAGTCGATAAATATGATTACAAATTGAGTAATTTAAAATTTTGAATTTTAGAATGAAAAAATATTATTAATAAGCTTTAGAATTGCCTGAACAACAGAACCCACAATTTACCTATTTGCCTAATAGTTATAATAATAATGCATAATATGGTTAAGTTAAACCAAATTTTCAATTATTATTTTAGTCATATTCAACATTAATTTTATGTGTCAAAAAGGTAATCATTGTAATAAGTCCCAAATTTTCTCATTATATTTAATGTAACCAAAAAAAGGTCTCACGACCAACTCTCTGATCTGCATTTATTTTTTGGTTTTTGTTAATTTAGAAGTTCAAAGGAAAATAATGAAAAATTTTATAATAATTTTATAAAGTCGTTTCAATAATAGAAGAATATTCAGAACGTAAGTACTTAGCCTAAAATTAATAGATGACTCTACCTTAATGCTTAATATACTTGCTTTTTATGGTTTCAATTTCATTTAAAACGTAACAAATTATTTATTACTAAGATTCGGGTGTAACGAGTTTGTAGCATTGCGACAAATTGTTGTATTTCACCATTACGTACAAAGAATAATAAATAAAATATACAAAACAAAAATAATAACTGTTTTTACATGATGAATACAAATATACTCTAAAAACTTTGGCTTCACGTTTTCCATTTTTTTCTCGAAAAGTTGCATTTATTATTTACATAAAATAGGTAAAATATTTACAGCCCTAAAGTGAACTTATGTGTGAGTGTGCGTGATGTTTAGAATAGAAGTCGTGGTTATTGTGGAATGTCAGTCCCAGCAAAGTGGGAGGAAATTTATGAGAGAGTTTCTAGGGTAGCAATCGCTTTCTAAGTCCATTACACTGCATAACTGCCCGAAAGTTTTCCTTCTCCTATAATGCCTAAAAGTTTCTGCTACTGTGTGTCCGATGAAATGTGAGTTAATTTTGCAAGTCAACTTGGGACAGCGGTCATTTAAAATAAATTGTTCGTGCGGGATTTCGTACTACAAACCCAAATGGTGCTGTTAACGCTTTCCAACTGCCATTTAATTTGTATCCAAACTGTAAATTTTCCTCACCAATCATATCACTAGCGTACCCCGAATGTCTTCTTTAAATACGTAAGAAATTAATTTTTAAGATTTTACGGAAAGAAAAATCGGACAATTGTAAGATATAATTCAATAAAAAACGACCCTGTTGTTTTTGAAAGAGCTCGGTACCTAGTCAATATAGGAAGCTGGTGGTTCAGCACTAATTGTGCATTAAGAAATTTAATATTTTGGTAGTAAAACTTGTTATTGTCGAAAAACATTTATTACCTCACCAAAGTGCAAACTACTTTCAGAATAGCCCAAGGAATAAGCCTTTCAAATTTTACCGTACGTTTAATAAAAACCGTTTATAAAAAACAACATTATTATTCTAATTTTTTGACGTGACAACGTCTTATAATTCGATGGAGCCGGCTGCACGCACGAAAAAACATGACTAATGCGGCGTTACCTCGCTCTGAGGCGTTCCATTTAAGGCTTGAAGTGCAAGCGAGAGCGCGGAACGAGCGACAAAGAGGCACAATCGGCCTCCGCGTTCGACATCTGTATCTCTCCTACTTGAGTGAGCGATGCGTCCGCGTGGACAGCTCCTATACAATAATACATTTCCATTTACCTCCTCTATATCTATACAGAATATCTATCAAACAAATAAAATTAAAATTTTCTTTTGAAAAATGAAACCATTCCATCAGTATTTCCTTATGACGTTGTCACGTTCAATTATCGTCAGTAAACCGACATTGCAGACAACCGATTTTTTTTTTCTGGAAATTTGCAACTAATTGATCGTAATTGAACCATTTCTTTTATTCCAAAGTATTTTTACAACCAAAAAAATTCTCTTAAAAACATAGAACAGCACCATTTGGTTCATAGTAGATAGTAAGATTGCAAAATTATCTTTAGTGGGTAGGCATTCTAAAAACAAAATGCATTGTTTTCTATTTGAATTTCCTTCCAAATGCTCCAGTTTCATACGAAATTGACGGTTATTGCTATTTCATTTTTTTTATATACCTAATGATGCTTTACATGTTTCAAATTATTGAAATTTAACATGAACGAACCAGTTACACTTATAAAAATAAAAAAAATATTTTAAGTACATTGTACAATGAATGAAATGTTATGTATTAATTCTCAATAAACTTTTGAAGAAAACGATCACTAAATTACGAAATTAATAGATACAAATGAATAATGAAAATCAGTCTTTGTTCTCTTTTCTGCAATTTTTATGTTTCGCTTTAATTTCAATAATTTGATACCGTTTGATCTCAATCGTATTAAAAGATGGCGGAGTGTGAAAGTAAGGTAACATGATTAAATAATCCATTGAAAATATTCCACTGATAATGTATCCCAACTACAAAATATATATGTTTACAGGGTTGAAATATTACCGCAAGGAAATTACTTGGTATTTTTAGTGACTGAATCATTATTTTATGATTATTCAGATTAGATTAACTTGGGTTGGATTAGCATACTAATTATTAAATAAACGACCGTTACCATTTACAAATGTCGAAATATCTAAATCTGTGATATGAATATATTTAGTCGCTGGGATATTTCATGACAAAAAGAAATATTTAGGCATATAGCCGAAAGTGATTGTGTATTTTACCTAAAAGAGGACGACGTCTTTATAAATACGTATAAATATGCTAGAAATGCACGTTTAGTCACAGGAATTTTATTAAGTCAGATTCAAGTCCGCACTAAGTTGTGATAACCGTCGCGGATCCACTTTGCTTCGCTTGGATCCGCGCGTGCCACACGTGTGATTGCTATAGCCCGAGTCCGATCCGAACGCCGAGTCCTGAGAATACGGTTTGGGCACAGGACGAAAAGTCGCTAAATGTCCTAAAACGGGCACAGTCTCGTACGGTGATGGAGTCTGTTGCAAACACTGAAGCCTTTGCGTTATACTAGGAACGACCTGTCTCCGTGACGGAGGTTCTACACTGCCCACTCGCGGATAGAGTTGCAAAAGTGCGTCTAACAACATACCTTCGTGAAACTCATGTCTGCGTTGCCGATCCAAGCTACGATTCCGTTTGCTGCCCGGCACGGGCGGTAGTGGTTCTTGCGGTCGCCGAAACCTCGAGGCCTCTCGTCGCGCCGACGACGTAGGAGCCGGCCTATAGGGAGGTGGTGGAATGTTTAGATGACGTTCGGCGTGGTCGCCTAGACTGAGCTCGTCTTCGGCGAACTCGTCTTCGCTATGATGCGTCGGGGTGATTTCGCTTTCGGCGTCGCTCAGTTCTTCGTAGACGGGATTGTACAGGTCTTGGGAGCAGTACGGGTCCGGACCTGGAGACGAACACAGGAATACTGGCGGGTGCTGAGACATAGGGTAACCACTAGGATAATGTACACCATGCTTTACGTCGATCATCTGGAACAATAAAAAAATATATATATGACGTTCAGGTTTGGACAGGTTAAACTACAATAGCACGTGTGTATTGGACGTGGAGAGACAATCTGGATAGGAAATTTAATTTATTGGATTACGACACTGTCGTACGTTAACCAAGCCACGATTTGCAATAAACCAGCCCCTGTGTTGTAATGTTTCTCCCATGTACGTACACATATACACGTCTGTTGATAGTGTGGTGAAAAGTGGCAGTCTGCGGTTCAGCAAGTTTAGATTTACTTGGCTCCCACCAGACCCATTCCTGATCCGTGCTATCAACCGACAATGACGAATATCGGTGAACGGAGAATCGACAATACCGCACGTAAAACTACTTTACATTCAAAATCAAAGGCAACGCCTAAATTTAGTCACAGAGGAAACCGTACACGAAGTTTAAAAAATGTTGTATTGTACATTAGAAAATGCAAGACATTCTAAGAGATGCAGAATTAGGAATTTTGGATATTTTGCGATTGTATTTTTTAATGTATCTATTCAAAATGACAAAATTTTACTCCCTGTAAATATGACCGATAAAGAGAGATATGAAGTCAAAATTGAACTATACGCTATTGTTTTGATGCCATTGACTGAAATTGATAAGAAATTTCGGATTTCGAATTATTTCGGATTATCCGATAGTTTTGGATAGTTTCAGCTACACCCCTACTGGAAATTATCAATTGCAATTTAGTAGACTACAGAAGACAATCGTAAAAAAATCAAATCATTACATAGTATAAAACAAAGTCGCTTTCCCGCTATCTGTCCCTATATATGCTTAAATATTTAAAACTACGCAACGGATTTTGATGCGTTTTTTTTAAAAGATACAGTGATTCAAGAGAAAGGTTTATATGTATAATACATGCATAATATAGTAGGGAAATACTGATAATTTTAGAGGTTTCTAATGTGATGTCGTAAATAAACACATTTTTTGCGCTTACATTGCAAACGCTGGCTGAACCC